CATTTCCCTCCCCCCCTGCGCCTATTTTACACGACAGCGTATGCGTGAAACGTTTGTGCCTTTTTGTGCGTCCCTCCAGAATTTCACCCCATGAGTATCCACTTAGAAACGTAGGTGTTACTAACACGTCGAGGGGGGAACGGCCACAAATCGTTATGTGGACACGAAGGAAACGCTTTTAAGCGATTGGACTTTTTTCTACAGCGCGCCTTTTTTGGCTTCATATTGTGGAGCATTTCTGTCTCTCCCGCAACCCCGTAGGAGTGGTGGTATATTTCGATACAAGTCGACCTTACACAGGGCAATCCCCTCGAGGGGTAACCACCTCTATGGTGTTATGTTAGCATCATTTAATGATTGTTTTTTTTTTTTTTCCTCCTTATGCTACTCGAACATGTTCACTTCGTGCTACACATATAACGTTGATGACCCCCCTGGTGGGGTGGACAAACAGCATCCTGTTGGTTTCCATTTTGGGGGACCGAATGGGGAATCACATAATGGAGTGTTAACAAACCAGAAAGGAGGAGGATGAACAAACGCACAGGTGGGCCTCTCTCCAAGGGATACAAATCACAAATCGTTCCACACCAATCAGTCGCGTGGATGAAGGTGTGGTCACGAAATATGTAAGAGGAAGCGCTTTGCAGCCGATGTGCCTTTCCCAGTGTTTCCACAAAATGGGGGGAAAAAAAACTTTTCGCTGATATGTTGACGTGGAGAAATGTGCAACAATCGGAGAGTAGTAGAAAAAAAAGAAACAAAATTATCACCGCTGTCACCATCGTCATTAGCACCCTATGGAACAATTGTGCACGAGGAACAGATCCTATTCCTTCATCCTCGCCAAGTCGGGCTTGGGAAAGCATTCGCCAAGGAAAAACCTCCCTAACTCAGCGGAAAGGCACCCCCCTGTTTGTAGCACAATACTGCACTGCATGGCAAAGGGCCCTGCTCTCCCCCAAATTAGCCCCAACTTCGTATTCCACACTTTGGGAAAAAAAAAAAAAAAAAAAAAAAAAAAAAAAAAAAAAAAAACAGGATACAAATAAATGCTAAGTATATGCACGGTAAGAGACCATGCCTGGTGGAAAGGCAACCCGTAGTTTGCGCGGAAACGCAGGAACGTACAAACAAATGACTACAAGCATAGTACACTTTAAATCGCTCAGGAAGAGCAAAAATTCCTTGAGAAAAGAAAAAAAAAAAAAAACATTCGACTTGAGCAAAGGTGTTTAAAACAATTTGTGTGGCGGATGGTAAAAGGGAATTTTTCGGATGGGGGACCCCCACTTACAACCCCTAGCTGTGCGCGCAGTAGATAAACAAGCACGATTATATCGGTGGCGTCCTCTACGCATATGTGTACGTATGTAGGGACATGTACAATACGCGCGTTAAACCGCCGCAAGTAGACGGTGTACACACCGCACAGAAGCAAGTGTAGCAAGGCAAGTAAAAAAAAAAAAAAAAAAAGAGCTAATTTTACATTTATACCAAGACGGAACCACAGGAAAGTTTCTCATAATTAAAAACCGCCGTTTTGTAAAAGGCATGCAAAATGGAAGACAGGGGCCCCACAAGAAAGGGGAAGTATCACCACCACGGTGGTAGGGATGATGATTGGCACAATCGGTATGACCGGCATTATCACAACCCACATGATAATAACCGCCGTGATAATAATCGCCATGGGCACTTCTACCACGGGGACGAAGCCCCAAAGGGAAAGGACAACTCAGTGGAAACGCGGTACAATAGCGAAATGGCCAAGCGCAATGAAAAGAAAAAAGACCAGTTTGAAAAATCACGTTACCATTACTATAATAGGCGAGCCGATGAAAATAGCTATTTTGGAGAGCCGCAGCATGTTGCCAAGACAAGCGATAAAAGGAAGCACTCCCTGGACAGAACAAACGACCACAGTTATCGCAATGGTAAAAGGACAAGGGAAGGAACAAACCAGGGGGAGGAAGACGGTGTAAGTAGGAGGAACAATGACCATGTGAAAAGTTTTAAAACTGAAAAGGAACCCGACACGCATGAAAAGCGTAGCAGTGATGAAGGAGGAAGCAGGAGGGAGGAGACAGGGAAAGCGGGAAACAGTCAGGAGAAGCATCTCCAGCTAGGTAAGGACAAGGTGGGGGAGAAGGACGAAGGAGGAGACTGGGACGGATCGGAAAGCGAACAATTTGAAAGTGATATACAAGGGAGTGACGAAGGGCAAAGTGACGGGGAAAGAAGCGGTGGGCCCCCCAGCGACGGAGAGGCGATCAAAGCGCAGGGGCTGCTGCACGGATGCCGGAGCGTGAAGAACTACAGGCGATTGAACAAAATAAGTGAAGGCACGTACGGAGCAGTGTTCCGGGCACAAAACAAAGAGACGAAGCAGATAGTGGCGCTGAAACAGTTGAAGCACTTTTCAAGTATGCGCCACGAAGGGTTTGCAATCACATCCCTTCGGGAAATAAACATACTACTTCAATTGTACCATGAAAATATTTTATCAGTAAAGGAAGTAGTCATAGGCAAACACCTAAATGATATTTACCTAGTGATGGAATATGTAGAGCATGAGTTGAAAATGCTCTTGGACAACAAAACCCCGAGCTTCACCATTTCGGAATTGAAGTGTCTACTGAAGCAACTACTCAGCGGTGTTGATTACCTGCACACCAACTGGGTCATGCACAGAGATTTGAAAACGACCAATCTGCTATATAGCAACAAAGGCGTCCTAAAAATTTGCGACTTTGGAATGGCCAGGAAATTTGGCCATATAAATAATCAAAACATCACAAGGAATGTCGTAACGTTATGGTATAGAGCCCCAGAATTGCTATTAGGAGAAAGGTGCTATACAAATAAAATCGACATATGGAGTGTTGGCTGCATTTTTGCTGAAATGATTCTTAAGAAGCCTTTATTTATTGGGGAAAACGAAACTGACCAAATTTTAAAAATATTAAGCTTGTTAGGTTTGCCAGATAGGGAAGACTACCCCGAATTTTATGAATACTCTTTTATTTCGAAAAATAAAGAACTTTTTAAGAAAAAAAAAATCAAAATGAACGTCACCAAAATACGATCCCATTTCCCCAATGTCGCCAACCAGTTCTCAGGGTTGTACTTATCAGACACTGGACTGGACTTACTACAACAGTTGCTGCATTTTAATCCCAAACATAGAATTTCCGCGGCCGACGCTTTAAAACATCCTTACTTTAAGGAATTTCCCAAACCCTTGGACATTGCCGATATGCCCATTATCCCAGACACCAATAAGGTTATTCGGTCCAAAAAAATGACTAGCGAATATAAGATCGTCGATCAGAATAATATACGCTTCCATTCGTAAAAAAAAAAATATAGCCAAAAAAAGGGTGAGCTAGCCAAAGTTCTGCTACTTTTACCTGAACGGTTCATAAAAAAAAATGGGAAATTTCCCTGCACATATGAGGGCACATCATTTCAAACGCTTCACTTTTTTTTGTTCATTTTTTCTCCGAATGTGTGAATGCGTGTGTGCATACGCCTGTAGGTGCAGGTAATTTTGGCCATTTTTTTTTTTTTTTTTTGTTTTTAAAAAGTGGCAAAAGAATGGGGAAAAAAAAAAAACAAAAAGCGCGCCCATAATGAACTTCATCAACATGTTGACATGTTTGTGGTTCTCCTAATTAGGAGATCAAAACGGATCACAATTTTGCATTAGACACGTGGTCGATTTTTGTCCTCATACAATTGTTGCTACTCGTCCCGTTGTATGAATATAGCATACTCATGCATTTGTTACTCAGTGGATGGCATATGCTAGACACACCTCCAATATTGATAACTCCCGCGGGGGTTGTTCTCCTCCCGAGAACCTACCCCTGCATGATCAGTTAAATTTGCTGCTTCCCTGGTGAATGCCATCCCCCATGATGTTGTCGCCATATATGTGAAATTTGCTCACATTTTCTTTTCCCTTTAATTGTGAATGGGCGTTACATAAGTCATCAAACCTGCCACACGGAGGATGCTTGTCCTGGTGATTCTTCACGCCATTGAGCATTTCTCCAGCAGCATACATGGCTATATTCACATGCACGCCCTGCCGCAGCTCCCTATCATCCGAATGGTTGCCCCTTAAATTTCGCTTACAAGCATTGTGAATATGTTGTATCCCATTTGAAGCACTCAGATGGACCTGCTCATTTGTTCCCATTTGAGCAGAATAATGTTGAAAGGGGTTGTTCACTCTCTTAAGTGCGTATGTTGCACTTGTGTCGTTTGGTACGTTGGCTCTTTTGATATGACTTGGATGTCCCCAATTGGGGGAACGATCCCTGTACGTCTGCTTCTCCATGAGTTCTTTAACAAACACATGGTCCGCCTGTTCTGCCTGCATCCTACCCCTGGTGTGGTTTCTCCCCATGACACTTCTGTATAGAGATTGTCCCATATCATCGTAGTGCTTAACCCGTTCTGCACTGTTTAGGTGAAGGGTTCTACACCTTTTTGTCTTTAAATGTGACCCCACAGGGGAAGTAGCAGCAGTGGGAACGCATTTGGACGTTATGACGATACTTCTGCTTGCTTCACCGAAAGCATGCCGGTGTTTTTTCTGCAAAGCCACTTGCTTCTTAATAAATGCCAAATGTGCCTCATTATCATGGTCCTTCAAAACAGAACAATCTTTACATATATAAGTTTTAATTTTGCTAATGTTGTTGTAGCAGCAGAGACTGTCTTGCACATCTTGGTAGCTTTCGCAGCAGCAGCAGAGGGTTTTGTTTGCCCCTTGGGTTTTTTCGAGGTTCACGTGCTGGCGAACGTTGGGGAGTGAAGTGATTGGAGAAGTGAAGCAACGTAAAATGGGACACGCGGGGTGGGGTAATTCTGGGCAGGTCATCTTACACCATGTGGACCCTTCCTTTCATTTTGCGCCTTGTCACACTTATGCCCTCTCGATTACCCCCGCCTTGAGTGGAGAAAGAAGTTGCACCTTGTCTGCAAGGTTCAAGGAAATGGGGCACACAGAGTGTAGTGGAGGCTGTAAATGATTTTTCTCGTATTGGTGTTCACATTAAAGCGACCACGCCGCTCACTCCCCACTTTTATTTTACCTTCATTACGTCTTAACAGATTCATCAACTTATTTTTAATTCCCTTGGAGGCGTTCCTATGTATGTGTGGCTTCAGTCTTAAATCCACACCGTGCAATTTGAGCTGCGAGGTGATTGGGGTGGTTGCAAGGACGGAAAAAAAAAAAATATATATCATCATCACCATTTAGCATGCACTCTTTTGTAGAAAAAGGAAGGCAAGAACCAACTTGGGGTCGCAAAAAAAA